TTTATATTTACAAGTAAGTGAGAAAATTTCTCAAAATTCAACTAGCGCTGCACGCATATTTATTTACGTCTCAAATAGGAAAATCGTACACTTCTGAACAATATTACAGTTCTCAATCAGAAGAATAAGAATAGTCGAACTACTTTTACAATTAGACTTACACTTATTTGTTTGTGTCGCATAAATGAATAAGGCGAGCTACTTATAATTAAGGTAAGCGCATACAATTCACAAAGTTTATTTTTGTCAACAATTTTATTAATGACAGTATTTTATAATCGATTCTCACTCGTCTTCTCTCACTTTCAAACAGACAAATAACTGTGATAAATCAAACTTTCACTCAGTAATTGCCTCAATTATTATTATCACAAGCGAAAAAGTTATTCATGGTGATAATACCTTAAACAAGCTTTGTTTTAATATACTTTGAAATTCATGACTGTGATCAAAGTCATCCTCTTTTTTCGAGAGTAGAAAATATTTCCTGTCTAATGCACGTGTTGTATTATGCGTTTCTAAAAATAAAATATTCTAAAATAAAATATCCATATACGGTTCTTTTCTTAAATGATTTTTCTATGCTTCATTTTCCATCGTTGCATGTTTTCATGTTCATAGTTGAATATTTCTTTTCTTTATCGACCTTTTTCTTGAATCAAAATCAATTTTGAGAAAAAGAGCAAAAAAAATTAGTAAGTTCATTCACATACAGTAGTAGTTGAAAATATTCTCTCGGTCTATCATTTCCTATATATGGGAACTACTCCGATGGTTAAATGTGTACCTGAGGAAAATTCAAATTTCTACAATGTGTGTAAGTACAATAATAAATTGAACAGAAGAGACATTGACAACAAGAAGAATATTACCATATTCAATTGTTATTTAAATACAGATAATAATCAACGATCACAGACATATATTACAAAGAACAAATAGTTTCTTGCAAATATGTTTTACCAATCAGAAATCTCAACATTATTTATATTTGAAGACTATCAGAAGTGAAACATTACGCTCTGATTCTCGAGACTTGATGAATGTACAAACATATAGATTCGTTATAATTTTCACCTTTAGATGAAAAAGAACGGTCCAAAGAGAAAACATAATATAAATTTTTAATATATGCAGTAGCTTTTCAACTTCATTTTATTTATAGATTTTTCTTTTTGGTGTAGAATAAAAATAATATCATAGGTGAGTTAAAAACGGTATCCTTTCGTTTCGTCCCATTTTTTTAATTTAGTTCTCATTTCGTCCCTTATATTTCCTATTATTCTATTTATTTTTATAGCTATCTATTTCTTTCTATCACCTGTACAAACCTCTTCAAACTTTTCCCGATCCTCCCACGGCGCGTCCATATATGGATGACGCCTAGTTACCGTGGGTTCATCGAATAGTTTTTCATAGTGATCTGCAGCAATGTTCTGCCATTCTACTTGCTTCCCTAACCGTTTCGCCAGATGACGTAAACGCCTGAAATGACGATGAAACGGGTTTAAAAATCCTTTTTATTTTCGACCAAAACGCGATTGAACTAGGATATGAAATATGACGGCTTGAAAGGGGGTTCCGGAATCTCGCCAAATAAGACTTTCGCCAATATACCTCCTGGAATTTCGTCAATTGGCGAATGTCCACTGTACTTTCGCCATTTTGACTGTGAATTAGACGTGGATTAGAGAAATTCTTAGCACTTAGTTTTCTATTTTTTGTCTTACCTCTGTTCACATGTGTGTGCGCGTGATCTTTTAGTATTACACTGAGTGTGGTACACTTTTTCGTCTCTCTATTTTCTTTTTCTTTTTCGTCTATTTTATTTCTTTCATTGTTTTTTTCGTCTAGTTGTGATCACTATTATTCTAGGTCTATATATTGCATCATCTTTAGCTATCTCTG